AGCCATTGCAGTTTATTGAGTTGACATGGTTGGACTTGTGCTTTAGAAAAATCATTTTGGTGATTGAATGGTGGATGGAATGGGGAGAGCCTTAAGGCAGGCAGACTCACCAGCAGGCTATTGCAATAATCCAAGCGTAAGGTAATGAGGGCAGGTACAAGATGGTGGCAGTGTCAGAAGAGAGAAGGGGGCATATTTGAGAGATGCTGCAAAGGTGAAATCAACAGGCCTTGGCAACAAATTGTATATGGGGGAGTAAGTGATAGTGAGGAATCTGGGATGATTCTTATGTTGTGAGCCTAAGGGACTGAGAGGGTAGTGTTGCCCTTTATGGTAATAGGGTACGCAGGAGATGTGTTGGGTATGGGAAAGATAATAAATTCTGTTTTGAACATGTTTTGTTTAAGATATCTACTAGACATCCAGGTCAAGATTCTAAAGGGCAGTTGGAGATAGGAGATTGGAGGTCAACAGAGAGGTTGGGGCAGATTAGTTAGATTTGAGGATCATCAACATTGAAATGGTAATTAATTAAATCCATGGGAGCTGATAAGATCACCAAATGAAGTAGAAAAAGAGAGAAGAACCTCAAGGGTTAAAGGGTCTGAAAGGACAGTCTCATTCCTCATCATATTAAAGGAGAGGGGAGAGCTGAAATCTCACGAAAACTGAGCAAGCATGCTAAGAGTAGGCCATCCAAGAGTCCCAGCAACATCAGGTGGGAGAAGCTTCACCATGGTCACCATGACCTAGAAGGAAAGTACATGTACAACAGTGTGGAGATGCAGGAGCTACCATCCACCCATGCTACAGTCTCCAAACCAAAGCAATTTCAGCCACAATGCTGTGAGGAGAAAGAAGAGAAGGATGTCAGAGCTGTGTGACTGGGGCTGAATGTAAGCCAGACAGATTGATGCAGATTCCTTTGCCTGTTGTGCTGTGAAGACAGAACCCAGTGAATTTTACACTTCTATCCTCTGCCTCTCCCTCCCAGCCCCCATAAATTTTTTCATTCCCTCTTTAGGGAAAGATAAATCAGGATTAACAATTAAGAACCTGCTTACTTTTGGGTTTTGTCACTTTGTTTAAAATAAACCACTTTCCTTAAGACCACATGGTCATTATTATAATAGATTTTTGTATGTCCTTAGAGGCAGATGAGTGGCTATATATCCTAGGAGAGAGATTTTCATAACCACTAGAACATTACCAGCATGGGGGCTTGCAGCAAGACTGAAAAGAGGTTTTAATGATTTACACTGCATAACTTCTCCAAAGCAGAGAAAGTCCAAAGACCAGAAGAAACCTCTGCACAACATAGCCTTTAGGGTAGAGAGGAGATGGTTGGAATTATCTCCTCTGAAACCAGCAGCTTTAGGTACCATCAATCCCTTTGTCCATGGTTTAATGGAAATCCTTCCCCGGAATGATAGAGCCGAGGGCAGTAACTAGAAAGAAAGTTAGGCTTGAAGGAAAGAGTTGGGAACACCATGCTCTCCTGAAAGTGGAGGCCTGGAAAGAGAGAATAACTATTTCTCTGGTTCACCAACCTTTCACATACCCCACATCCTGCTAGAAGCACACACACCTACTATCAGAAAGTGTTAGATGTAAAACAAAGAGAGACAGTTGTTGCCTCTGTTTTAAAGGAGAGAAAACTGAGGCATAGGGATGTTGTGATTAGCCAAAAGACAACAAATGGGGAATCATAATCATCCTGCTGTAAAAGAATTTATTGAGTCTTAAATGATGTTATACCAGGCATCTTAGAGTAAGTAACATAGGGCCTGTACTATTTGGAGTTTATAATCTAAAATAGATAACACTTGGACAAATCACTCTTGGGATTCAGTTTCATTTTGTAAAATGATGTTGCATGGAGGGATGAGATGGGAGAAAAAAAAAGAAAAAGAAAAAAATTTTAATTAAAAAAAAAAAGATGTTTCATGGTTCCTGCCAACTCTAAAAATCTGCAAATGTAGGATTGTATACAGGAAACGTCATGGTAGAATAAAAACATCAGGCCAAGACACTGACCAGTGACAAACTATGATAGGTAACAGATCTGACCACAACATAGCACATTCTTAACTTTTTATGTTTCTTTCTTGTTCATCGGCCTAAAGATATGTTTATTGATCCAAAAATATTGAATTCGATTAAATAAAGGCTGTTAGTTTTCCTTAGGAGACTTAACACATAAGGGTGTTATGGAATCCAACAGGGAAGTAAAGAACAGCTGTATTTTTTTCTATTTTTCATCCCTCATTTTAGGGATGGAAGACAATAACTGGGTGGAAGTCAGAAAACAGCCTTAGACTTATGTGCTCAAACTGGAAGGCAGTAAAAAGGTTTCAAATCAATGGCCTGACAGAGAGAGAATAGGCAAGGGTGGGAGGCTTGCTGTGTTGGGAAGCCATCCAATGCCACTGCCCCACTACGCTATTTTTACTGATCCCTTAACCAGGAGCAAGACCCTAAGAACCGAGTATAACTGAACTATGAGGAAACTATGCAGTCTTGGAAACCACCAGATGAATCAAGGAAACTGTGACCAATCAGGTTGCATAGTTTTGGGAGGAAGAAGCTGTATCAGAGAAGTTAGGGAAGCCAGGGAAGTTTTGTTAGGAAAATGCTGGTCCTATCTATCACACTATTCCCTATTACTGAGAATAAAAAGTCTTACTTCCTTGTCCTGTATATTGCTCTTTCTCTTACACTAAGCCTCTATTTCTAATATTAATTTGATTAAGGCTCTGTTCACTTTCTGTATTTGGCATGTGTTTTCAAAAGAAATTAGTTTCCTTAAGATATTGCTCATTGTGCATGCATGCATGTGCATGTGTGTCCCTAAAGAATTAAATGTAAAGATGATGAGAAGAAGATTTTGGTAGGCCAAGGACATATAGTAAAAGAGAAAAATAGATTCTCTTTCTAATTGATGAGACTACCAGATGAGACTACAAGTGAGATTATATTAATATATTATTAGAGCTCCCCTGAAACATGGGAAGAATAAGTGAAGCTGGACCATCCTGGACATAGGATGCACCAGCAGTCTTCTGGTGAAAGGAGGTTTGATTAGTGAGTGGGAATTAGCCTTGTCTGAGGCAGTGGTCTCAGTCAACTACCTTTTCCAGTGTCTTCCCCAAAGCAGGTTTGAAAGATCCCCTACCCAGGGGAGTAGTGAAGGTATAGACTAAAGGGAAAGTCATAACCATGGGGATGCTCTAACAGAGAAACCAGGAAAGAGTACAGCTTCCTGCAGAGGAGCTAGAGAGAGGGAGTATCTAGGCCTTTTCCTTAGCCAAACAACTCTATCTCCAATCACTGTTAGAAGTATAAACACAAATAACAGAAACAGATGATCAGCACCTGTGTTTACTCAAAGGTGCCAAATTAAGAACACTGCCAAGTTTATATGACCATGTAATCCCTAGGATCAGATAAATCACAAAACCATTTTAATTCATCCTTAACACAATCCAAAGTGATGGGTCCTTTCTATTTATATTTAATTGTGATTCCTCTACTGCAGCTCTTTACTTTGGTTATGGAGTATGTTGGGAGTATGTTTGGGTGAATTGCCACTCCCTTAATCCCAAATCAGTATTTAACCAAGTGAAAAGGTCTTGCTGGTTCTGTTTCAGAGGAATAGTTTGGACCCAGTGAGATTACCTTGGCACCAAGTGTTGTAGAATTTTTACTCAAGTTACTCTAGATGGAGAGAGAATGACTAAGTGAATGAAAGGCAGGGCAAAAGGAGGAAAAGAAAAGGAGAGGAAGAGGCAGGAAAGAAATTTGAGAAATACTCATTTAAAAAATTTTAGACGTACAATTGAAAAATACACAAAGAACAAAAGATGGTTCATAGAGGGATACAAACAAGCAGGAAAATGTTGGTACTAACAGTAGTAATGAAAGTAAAGGCACATTAAAAGGATAAGCTTTTATCATGGACTCCTGGTTTCATGAACAATTCCCATTTTCTAGCCTTTGTGTCAGGAAATGTTCATGTGTTGATTATTTTCTATTTATAATTTTAAAAATTTAAAAAGAAAAATGTAAAGAAAAGGTAATAGGGCTCTCATTTCCCACGAAAGCGGGCAGGCTAACAATGTATGTCAAATACAGAGCTGGTTTATTTTCATCTAACAGGACACATAGCCAATTCCATAAATAGGCAAACAACTTTTCCCCTCTTTTTGGTGAGCCCTACCTCACCAAAGGAAAAAAAAGGTATCAAGGTAATCTTGCTAGAAGAAATTCAGCTCCTTCTGAACCCAAACTGAAGAATCTCCCTATAAACCTGAATTGTAGAGAAAGCTGCCTGTTATTTCTGAAAGTTTCGTTCGCGGTGTTGATAGGGTATGGTTGCCTTTTAAGTTGTGCTGTGAGTTGGTGGGGGGTTTTCCCCTTGTTGTAAACCTGCTTGACCAAAAGTAGCTTCCATTTTTCCCCCAGCACATAAAGTAGCAACCTATTGCTTTCCTTTGTTTTTACATTTGCGTCTCTCAGGAATCCAATCCTCAGGCTTATAGCATTTTCCCTGTTGTTGAGGCTTCTCCAAAACAGGAAAGAGCTGAGGTTATTGCAGCTGGGGGGGGGGTTGTAAGGAGAAGAGGGAAGGAGATCATTCCCCTTCTCTTGGACCTTCACAATTATTACTGTTAATACTAGAGGGTAAGAGCCCAGTTTGTCCTTCATGTTATGAAACTAGGTCTTTCTGATTTGTGACTCTTGCTTGCTCTGGGAATTTATTATTATGCAAGAACTCCTCTCCTCTCATGGGGCCAAGTGGCTTCTTACTCAGTTACTGTTTCTTATTTCTGCCATCTCTGGAGCTGAGTGTTTTCCTAGGGGAGATATGCTTTGAGAAGCAAGCTGCCCCCACTTTGGGACCTAAGTGTGCCTCTTTGTGTACCTTCTCTCTAATCTGCATCTCTCAGCATTATCTTCAGATCTGTCTGCTTCCTTTTTTATAGGTCAAATTGAAGGGCACAGCTCAGATCTACATCAGCCATGACTCAATCATGCACAGTGCACTAATAAATACCAAAGGTAAGTGTACATTTTTTGGGGGGGAATTTTAAAAAATTTTAAACTTAAATACAAAATAAGGAAAGAAAAACAACATTGCTACATGCACAGCAGACCGTAAGAGAGGATTCAATATAATACAATAAATTTCCATTTCAAGAAAACCTATATAATAAATACTTCACATTGTTTTCAAAGCTGCCCAGCTTTTCTTTGCTTCCTTGTTGATTTTCTTTTGTTCTCTGCTGTGCAATTTTTACTTTTTTTCCCTTCCCCCCACCCTAAAGAAGGCTGCAATTAAGTGTGGATATATATACATATACACAGATATCTATAAACATACACATATAAACACGTATACAGTTGTACTATGTACTATGCTTATTTCCACCTGTTATCTGTTTTTCTGAAGGTGGATAGCATCTTCCTTCATAAGTCCAAGTCTTTCCATGTTTTTCTAAATCAACCAGCTCATCATTTCCTACACCACAGCAATATTCCAACCCAATCACATCTTATCTAAGAGATTATCTATGAAAGTTTTTTTTCCCCCAGTTTTGTGCATTCCTTCTATTCTTGGCCATATAGGTTTTATTTATACAAGAAAATTTTAGTTTGAAATAGTCAAAATTATCCTTTTTACACTTCAACAATGCTCTCCCATATAATATAGTTTAAGGTCTGATACTACTGAATCTACTTCCTTTACATCTTTTTTCCTGGTTTGTTTAAAGTTGCTGACTTTTTGCTCTTCCCAATGAACTTTGTTATTATTTTTTCAAATTCAGTGAAATAGTTTCTTAGTAATTCAATTAGGATGATATTGAATAAATAGATTATTTAGGTAAAATTGTCATTTAAAAAATTATAGTGGCTTTATCTACCCATGAACAATAAATATTACTTCAATTATTTAATTCTGAGTTTATTTGCATGAAGTGTTTTATATTTATGTTCATATAGTTCCTGTGTCTCTTTTGACTCAGTTATTTTATATTGTCTAGGTATTTTAAATGGTCTTAAACAATATTGAATAATATTGCTGAGACGTGGTGTAGTTTCCCTATTTTTCATTTTTTAATTAAATCTACTTTAACTTTGTCTGAGATCATGATTACTATCCCTGCATTTTTATATACTAAATTCTACTCCAGATTTGAACTCAGGATCTTCTGACTTCAGGGCCAGTGCTCTATCCACTGTGCCAACTAGCTGCCCCTAAGACCTCATTTCTAAAATATATAGAGAAATGAGTAGAATTTATAAGAATATAAGTCATTCCCCAACTGATAAATGGTCAAAGGATAAGAATAGGCAGTTTTCAGAGGAAGAATTTAATTGGAACACTAATGCATTGTTGGTGGAGCAGTGAACTGATCTAGCCATTCTGGAGAGCAATTTGGAATTATGATCAAAGGGCTATAAAATTGTGCATACACTTTGACCCAGCAATACCACTTCTAGGTATGTTTCCCAAAGAGATCATAGAAATGAGAAAAGGACCTACATGTACAAAAATATTTATAGCAGCTCTTTTTGCGGTAGCCAAGATTTGGAAGTTGAGGGGATGCCCATCAATTGAGGAATGGCTGAACAAGTTGTGGTATATGAATGTAATGGAATACTACTGTGCTATAAGAAATGATGAGCAGGCAGACTTCAGAAAAACCTGGAAAGACTTCTATGAACTGATGCTGAGTGAAATGAGTAGAACCAGGAGAACATTGTACACAGTAACAGCCACATTGTTTGATGACTGATAACACTTAGCTCTTCTCAGGATTGCAAGGATCTAAGACAACTCCAAAAGACTTGTGATGGAAAATGCTATCCACATCCAGAGAAAGAACCATGGAGTCTGAATGCATATGGAAAGAACCATGGAGTCTGAATGCATATGGAAGCATACTATTTGCTCTCCTTTTCTTTTGTTGGTTGTTCTGTTTCTTCTTTCTTGTGGTTCCTCTCATTAGTTCTAATTCTTCTATACATTATGACTAATGTGAAAATATGCTTAATATGAATATTAAAGTAGCACCTATATCAGATTACATGCTGTTTTGCAGAGGTGGGAGGAGAGAGAGGGGGAGAAAATTTAAAATTCAAAATGTTATGGAAGTGAATGTTGAAAACTAAAAATAAATTATTTTTTAAAAAAGAATTCATCCAATTACTTCCTAAAAAAAAACCCAAAAGCTAACGCTGAATTCACCAAGGAATGTCATGGCCAAAATCCAGAGGAAATTCCTGGGAACTCGTATGACTCAGCACTAGAGTACAGCTTTGAGCCAAATTAATCTCCTTAGTGGCCACTAAGAAGGAAGAGCCACTGATCTGGTGAACCTTGAAAGGGGAATGACTGCGCTCCAATGCTTCAACTCAGCTCACTCCGTGGTCTTCCCCTAAGGGATACAAAGGAGTCACCCTTCCCCAACTCCAATGAAACTGGTGAACTGTGAGCATATATGGTAGCTAAAGTACATGAACTGGCTTAGGCAAGCCTAAGCTTGGGCCTTGGGCCCAATGGATTAGGAATGTATACCTCTTCTGTTTTTTGTTCTTTTCCTGAAAATAGGGCTGAACAATGATCCTGAAATGGACAATTCTAGCCTTGATAACATATTTTGAGTTTAAAAGGTTTGGTGATCCTGAGTCTCTTATTTGGAATTGACTTGATACAAGAGGAGCTTCTACATCTGAGTGAGTTACTACCAAGAGGATAAGCTCAATCCGTGACCTCACTTCACTAGAAGACAGGGATCTGGAGAGAGTTGATCAGACAGTAGAAATCCAGGGTGAAATATAAAATGCCAATTTAACAATCCTAGAAAATGCTTCACATTTAATGTTTTAAGTATCTATCTCCTGGTATGTTTTTAGCATACCTTTTGTGTAGATGAAATAAATAGTTGTCCCCTTCTCTAAAAGACACTTCTAGAAACCAGGAGGAATGGTGATAGGTTCCTTTCATATTATCCAGATAGTGACACTCTTGGTTTTTCAGTCATATTGTTGTGTTAGTCCTTCATTCTCGAAGACGACCAATGCCATCATGAAGATGATGTCTTGACTTGTACATGATTTAGATTTAAGTAAGGCAGAGCTGTGCAAACTCATCAGCCTCACTTCTCCTTTAGAGTCATCAAAATCCAGTGGCAAAACAAAAGTCAAGATGATTGGTGATGGCCAATGATTGATGGCAGTCATATAGCTAGTAAGTAATAGAGCCAAGAATCAAACTCTGATTCCAATCCAGCACCCTTTTCCTTCCATATGTTCCTGCATGACATTATCTTCATTCTCCCAAGTCTACCTTCCTCTGTTCTCATCAGGCTAGTTGCCTCAATTTATTGAAGAGGCCAATGCCTATCCCTACCTCCATTCACTCACTACTCCATTGTTGAGTTAATTAATGCCTTTGCTTCCACCCCTGCTTAAGCTTCTTCCCTTTCATGCCTTCTCCATCCTTCAGTGATCTCAATTACCTCTGGACTCCTTTAAATGTCTATTCCCAAGGTAACATTTGATTTTATTAGTGCCTTATACTACTGGCCATTATTTCATGTGTGTTGGTCATGCTTTTGCACCTACACTGTATACTCTTAGAAGGCAGGGGCCATATCTTATGTTAACTCCATGTTCTTCATACTACTTAGCATGGTGTTGGGCATGGAATGGGTACTCAATAAAAACAGTGCGATCATTTTGCTCTCTTTTAGTTAGTATTTAATATTTGTCTCCAGTGCCACATGAACAACAAACATAATTGACAATCATCTTGCCCTGAGCACAGGTACTTCTTGGTGGAGGTGGCCAGCTGCATACCAAAGTACCACAAAGCAGAGGAGAAGCTCATTAAAAGGCCAACTCCCAGATATAATCTATGATTATCTTCATTTATTTTTGTTATATGCTAAGAAGGAAGGGCTCTGTAGTGGTTAAAAAAGAAAAGAACTGGGAGTCTAGAGACTTGCTCCTCACCTCTGTGACTCCTTCTGAGCATGACTCCATAAGCAAGACTTTGCTTCTACACTAAGGAATAAATACCTACCACTCACTAAGTGGCTTGCCCCCCAGAAACTTTGATCTGATATTCTATTGCCTCCAGTAAAAACTGAATCCACGGCAGAACTCTTAGTAGTCAGATTATTATGGGGATGACCAATGAAAACTCCTTAGTATTGAATATCACTAATGATGATATCCAGAAAATACCCCAGGTACCTCCAGCTCTATCCTGCCACCCAATGTTCATTTCCTCTGAGAAGAGGAAACTTTTAATTCTCCAATGCTGTAAAGGACACATTTGGTGCTTCCCAGACAATTGGGGAATTACTGCTATTGTACACTCTTCTTCCTCCTTCATTCCATCAGTTCTCTCAAATGTAGGCCATTCACACTTGGGAGAAATTCAGTCTCTCTTCTGTTATGTGGGGGTCTTGTTAGTAACAACAATCAGATTCTACCATCTATCTTCTCTGCTCCTGCCAAATGCTTCTGGGAGAAATCATATTGATTGAGCTTACTGGGTCCACTATAAATGTATGTTAGCCAGTCTCATTTGGGCCTTTATTGCCTCATGCCAACCCTCTTTCTCTTTTCTGATTGAGTCTTCCCACAATGACTGTTCCAGTGTTTCTTTTCTCAAGTCACCTATACCACCATTTCCCTTTCCTCTCAGCAGAGGACCTGGCCTCATACTTCACTGAAAATCTCCCATCTTTGCTTCCTTTGCTGCAAGTGCAGAGATGAGGTCATCCTTTTCCTTGGCAATGCCAACTCCTTTACTTGTGCCCTTGTTCTCCTCACCTCCAGGAACTTGCCTTTTTATTTCTCTAATTTTCTTTTTTTTAAAAGATAATTCTTATTGATATATTTTGTTTTTATATCACCCAAATTTTTCTTTGTATTCCTCCTCTACCTCCTCCAAAAAAGCTCTCCTTTATAACAAAGAAGTTTTCTTTCCCTAATTTTTTAACCTCTCCCTATCCACTGGCTCTTTTTCTGCTTCCTATAAAAAT